ACCTTGGAGAGGACGGGCGGATGTCCTTAACCATCCTTGACCTCTCTCTCTCTCTCTCTCTCTATCTATCTATCTCTGTGTGTGTGTGTGTGTGTGTGTGTGTGTGTGTGTCTTTCCTCTCTCTCTTTCCTCTCTCCCTTTCTCTCTCTATCTCTCTCTCCTCTCTCTCTTCTCTCTCTCTCCCTCTCTCCCTCTCTCTCTCCCCTCTCCTCTCTCTCTCTCCTCTCTCCTGTCTCTCTCTCTCTCTCTCTCTCTCTCTCTCTGTCTCTCTCTCTGTCTCTCTCTCTCTCTCTCTTCTCTCCTCTCTCTTCTCTCCTCTCTCTCTCTCTCTCTCTCTCCTCTCTCTCTCTCTCTTCTCTCTCTCTCTCTCTCTCTCTCTCTCCCTCTCTCTCTCTCTCCCCTCCCCATTTTTCACACCCACAAAATACCTTAAATCCATCCCCCCTCTCCCCTCACTCTGTCAGAGGCTTGGTTGAGGTCTCAGGGTCCCAGCCTGAACAGCTGTGAGACCCTTAGAAACTTAAGTTCCTACAGCGGTTTCCTGGGTCATTCTCCACATGACCTCACTCTTTTTGGAATATAATGAGCAACATAAACTGATGAACAAACATAGATCCAGAGACATAGATGCATCAAACCCCAGAGGCAAGGCTGGGGAGAGGGGAGGGTGTAAGAGATCAACCGAAGGACTTGTTTGCATGCATAGGAGCATAACCAGTGGACACGGACAGTAGGGGGTGGGAGTCAGCAGGGAGGGGGGACACCTGTGAGTGGTACATATGTAATACTTTCAACAATAAAGAATTAAAATAAAATAAAAAACTTGGAAGCAACCAAGATGTCTTCAGTAGGTAAATAGATTTTAAGAAGGCAAAACACACACACACACACACACACACACACACACACACACACACACACAACCAATGGAATATTATTCAGTACAAAAAGAAAGGAGTTATCAATCAATGAAAAGATATGGGAGAAATGTAAATGAATATTACTCAATAAAAGAAGCCAGTCTGGAAAGCTAAATCCTGCGTGACTACAAATACGTATATGACATTCTGGAAACACTAAAACTGTGGAGACAGGAAACAGATACCTAGCTGCCAGGGGTAAGCAGAGGGAGGGATGAACAGGGAGCACAGGTTTTTAGGCAGTGAAATGCTTTGTGGAGTTCATTAATGGGGTTATATGTGTCATTATACGATTATCCAGCCCCACAGTCTGTACAACTCCGGGGGTGGTCCTGGCCCCGGCTGATGTGCTCACTGGGCTGGGTGTCTCCTCAGCACCAAAAGGTCACTGGTTGGGTTCCCATTCACATGCCCGGGTTGCCCACTCAATCCCCAGTAGAGGGCATCCTGATCAATGTTTTCCTCTATCCCTTCTCTTATCTCTAAAATTAATAAAAACATTTTCTGAAAAGAAATAAACCCTAATGTAGACTATGGATGCTAGGAGGTGATGATGCAACAATGTACATTTATCAGCCGTAGCAAATGTGCCACTCTGTGCAAGATGTTGGCAATAAGGGGGGCTATGTGTCAAGGGGTGGGCATGAGGTATATGGGAAAGGAATTTTCCTTAACAATATTGCTGAGAACCTAAAAAATAAAGTCTGCTCTATAAAATAAAGCCTATTAAAAAGGTTAGCTGTGGTTATTTGTTATCTAAAATCCCTCTAGTAGCCGGGACCGGTTTGGCTCAGTGGATAGAACGTCGGTCTGTGGACTAAAAGGTCCCGGGTTCGATTCCGGTCAAGGGCATGTACCTTGGTTGCGGGCTCATCCCCAGTAGGGGGTGTGCAAGAGGCAGCTGATCTATGATTCTCTCTCATCGATGTTTCTAACTCTCTATCCCTCTCTCTTCCTCTCTCTGAAAAATCAATAAAATATATTTTTTTTTAAAAAATAAAAAATAAAATCCCTCTAGTGTTAGATTCTGGTGTTACATGGAGCCAGTATGTATTTGTTGAGTGCAAGTTAATGTTTCTGGAGCAGTTGTGTTAACTTGGCCTTGGGTAGGAATGTGCAGAGAAGTCATGATTCTACTACTGCATTTAGCACTTCTCAGCACTTTCCCTGACTGTGCTTTCCCCTAAGCTGTTACATTTATTGAGACTTCTCCACCCCATCCTCACGATTGCTTTGTGTGCAGCTGATTACTATTATTAACCTTAATTTCCAAAGGAGGAGACAGGCACGATGGATCCTCATCTAGGAGGTGTTATTTGGGCATAAATAACCCCTCAGGTCAAACAGGTGAAGCACAATTCTCAAAACATTCTCATCTCTTCATATCACATGTCCCATCACTCCTCTGTTTTTGGTCCCTGTACAGGCTAGAACTCTCATTATTGAGTGTTTCAGTGCAGAGAAAGTTACTCTCTCTAGCCATCCTTCATAGGAAGCTAGATGTTAATAAAGAAAGGGAGCAAAGGAACTCGGACATTAAGAATCCTAATAAACTTGAAGCTGAATCCAACATTGGGTCAGCTTCACTAGGAAGCTACAGCTTCACCCGCTCCCCAGGGAACCACCTGTCCATTGGCAGGTGACTGGGGGAGGGATCCTATATAATAAAAGCCTAATATGCTAAGTGTCTGGTCGTCCAGTTGGCCATTCAACTAATCAAAGTGTAATATACTAATGATACACTAAGGCCGCTCAACTGCTCGCTATGATGTACACTAACCACTAGGGAGCAGATGCTCTGACCAGTAGGTTAGCTTGCTGCTGGGCGAGACCAACCCGGCACACACTGGAGCCCTCCCACCATCCCTTCCTGGCTGGCCACCCTCCCACGTCCCTCCCCAGCCCCAATCATGCACCAGTGGGATCCCTCGGCCTGGTTTGCACCCTCATAATCCACACCCCTCAGGCCACTCCTCCAACCGCCACCCCCCACACACCCTGAGTGCACAAATCTCATGCACCAGGCCTCTAGGGGGGACAATAAAAGGCAAAGTCCTCTGCTGGTGCATGCCCTGTAAAGCCAAGAGGTCTGGGTGAGGTGTGTCTCTTGGAAGCCTGCACAGGAGGAACTGGACAGTGCCCAGGAGGAGAGGAGCCAAACCTGGGAAAGGGTCAGATTGGATAAGGGGCACAAAGCCTGAAATATCTAGGAAATGGATAGTTGGGGGAATGCCCATCAGAAGCCTGTGAAGGATTGGGAAGTTGACCGGTTGGTTAGAGAAAGCAGCTTGTGTGTGAAATCTAAATGACATGTAATACGACAGAAAAGGACTCTATTCCACAGTTCCACAGAAAGGAACTGTACTTACAGATGATAAGAACTAATACATACAGCTAGCATCGTCTGGAGAACTTACTGGCATGCCATAATTTCATATCACAACCAGTGTCATAGAACCCATAATTATTTTTCTAATCATCAAGCCAAAAGCAAAGAACTAAGTGAAACAATATCAAAGTAGAACAAAAGACAAATGAAGCTACACAAAATGATTAATTGAAATGGGTGGAGAAACCAGTTAAAATCCTGACGTTTTATTGTATTGTTGTTTCTTTAGTGTGTTTTTAGATGAAGGCGCAGCCCCTCCCTCCCCACTCTGTGTGGTCAGGTCGTCTGCGGGGCCCCGCCTTGCCTCCACGCAGCTGGAGTAAAACGCTGCCCTGGGACAGTCACTGCCATGCGCCCGCTGCCTTCACCGCACACCCTCCCATGGGAGGTTCCCAAAATGTGAGATCTAGGCTTCTCAGATGGGTTGGATTCATTCACAATCTGTACCAAACGAACATCTTTGATTGCAAAAGTCTGTGCTCATCAATAATACAGAATCATCCCCTCCCACTCCACTCATCCCCTGGTGCCACCCCTTGCCAAAAAGCAAAAGTTTTCTTCGAAGAGATTAAAGGAAATGTAAAAGTTAAAATAGTTAAAGTGTAAGTGTTAAAATAGTTGTTGTAAAGATGAAAAATTTGAGGGACAATAATTAAGGAGTCAAATGATCAGAAGAACTGCAACCCATACAATCTCGAAAAAGTTAAAGCTTCATAGTCTTTAATAAAGTAAATCTATTATCATCCTCAAATAGAAGTATTTTGTGCATATTAAAAGCACATTTCATCAATAAATTTTCATAAGATGAACATATTAGCAATATAATTTTAAATGGAAGTTTTTAAATATCAAAAAGCATTATGTAGTAAGCTAAGGTTCTTGGGTTTTGTGTATTTTCAACCCTATTAAATAAACAATTAACCCATTTTAAATTCTAAAAATCCAATCTATATTATATGTATTTTGGTGTACAGATTTGCTATAACTTTTAAATATAGATCAAGGTTATGTAAGCATGCACAGTTAAATTCTAAAGTCATGTATCCAAATAACTGTTGATAAGAACGTGGACATTCTTGGTTTTGTGTGGCCAATTTTAACTGATACGTTTGTGCAGCTCCTACTACAAGAATAACTGCTATCTAAATAATGAATAATTTAAATAATGAATAATTTGAATAATGAATAATTTGCTCAAAGGAGTCAGTGAACTTAGATATGTCTAAGTTCCATATCCATGTGTGTAGGAAAGAAATGGAGTAAATTATCTGATACTTGTTTCCCCTTCTTAACAACTTTCCAAAAAAAAATTTTTTTAAGTAGCAACAGAAGTGAATGCCACGAAGGAAGCTTTGAATCAAATCGTAGTTGCCCCAGCACATGGTATTATGCTGCTATTCTGCCTTTCATGTCTGCAGCCCTCGTGAAGTCTGGCAAGTGCCATGAAGGAGGCCTTGTCACCTGCTTCCTGAAGAACCAGGTTCTGGGTGGCACTTAAAAGATGAAAACATGCTGGTGTCTGCAGAGATTCCAGAACCTTCTTATTAGAGAAAATCACAAGTGAAATGGCTAATTGAAATAGCAACTAAGAAGTTACATCAACTACTTCTCTGCTAGATTCATGGGAGCAAATACAAATAAAATATGCTGTTTTCAAACTTCTCAAGAAAACTTCAGTGGCAGCAGTGTGGTTAGTGGTGTAGCTGAATATGCCGCCCAACAATGAGGAACAGTAACCCAGAGAGCAGAGCAAAGAACACGCCCGCCGGGGCCAGGAAGAACGACCAGCCGTACAGCACAGAAGGCGTGAAATCCAGGCAGTCTTCCGCTTTCGCGCTGGTGTAGCTTTCCATGTCAGCCACCGCCTGGACCCAGATGACGTACAGGACCACCACCAGGGAAAACAGGAAGCCTGAGGACAGGAGAAAGGACCATTAGCCTTTCCGAGGGTGTTTCCCAAGGACACTCACCAAGCGTTTGCCTACGATGTCTCTAAACATATGATTCTAGCAAAACCACCTTCTTTGTGGTATGTACTTTATATGCATCTAGCTCTGCTGTGTTTAATTTTCAAGGCCCTGGGATGAGGGCTATAGAGTAAGAACCACGACAAGGCAACAGCTGACATGGAGTTGCTGAGAACTTGTGTGTGCCTGGCACTGTATTAGGAGTTTGTGATCATAAGAGTCAAAGGCCCCTGCCTGGTGGAATTGATTCTAACATTTAACATCTTTACTGATGCCTGGTTTTGGATAAACACTGTAATGCATTATTTATTTCATTATGTACATAAACTGATAAAATAGGTACTATTAATCCACTTTTCAGTATGTGTAAACATAGTAATTTTATGCTCAGGTCTTTCTCTTATATTACTATAATACAGATAACTAGTGCTACAATTAAATATGGCTATGAAAGTAAAAGCCAACATTAAGTACCAGAAAAGAAAGATATAAAAACATTAATGTAAAAGAACATACATGATTCTTTAAAATTAAAATATATAGTATATGTTGAAGCTTGGTTATAGCATAAAGATAAATATACTGCCTTTTAAATTATAAGTTCCTTATAAATTATGGAAATTAATCAGATGTTTTCCCATTCAGTGGGTTGTCTTTTCATTTTGTTGGTGGTCTCTTTTGCTGTGCAAAAACTTTTTAGTTCAATGTAATCCCATTTGTTTATGTTTTCTTTTGTTTCCATTGCCTGAGGTGATACATGAGAAAAAATATTTTTATGATAAATGTCCAAGATTTTACTACCTATCTTTTCTTCAAAGATTTTTATGGTTTCGAGTCTAACATTAAAATCTTTAACCCATTCCGAGTTTATTCTTTTATATGCTGTAAGGTAGTCTAGTTTTTTGTTTGTTTGTTTGTTTGTGTGGGTTTTATTTTTTGCACATATTTGTCCAATTTTCCCAATACCATTTATTGAATAGACTATCTTTACCCCATTGTACATTTTTGCCTCCTTAGTCAAATATTGACTATAAAGTCCTGGGTTTATTTCTGATTTTTCTGTTTGGTTCCATTGATTTATATGTCTGTTTCTATGCCAATACCATGCTATTTTGATTACTATGGCCTTGTTTAATATCAGGTAGCATGATTTCTCCTATTTTGTTCTTCTTTATCAAGATTGCTGTGGCTATTTGGGATCTTTTGTGTTTCCATATAAGTTATTAGAATATTTGCTCTAGTTTTATGAAATAATGTCATTGGTATCTTGATAGCAATTGCATTGAATCTATAGATCGCTTTGGGTAGTATGAATATTTTGATGATGTTAATTCTTCGTATCCATGAGCATAGTAGATGTTTCCAGTTATTTTTATCTTCTTCAATATCTTTCTTAAGTGTCCTGTAATTTTCCAAGCACAGGTATTTTAAATCCTTTGTTATATTCATTCCTAGGTATTTTTTAAGCAATTGTAAATGAAATTGGGTTGTTTTTTTTTTTCAGATTCCCATTTTATTATACATTATAGGTATATAAAAATGCAACTGATTTCTGAATATTTATTTTGTATCCAGGTACTTTACTGAATTCATTTATCAATCTCCAGAAGTGGAATTGCTGAATCATATGACAGTTCCATTTTTAATTTTTTGAGGAAATTCCATACTGCTTTCCACAATAGCTGCACCAATCTGCATTCCCACCAATAGCACATCCCCACCAATAGTTCCCTTTCTCCACATCCTCACCAATATTTGTTGTTTGCTGGTTTATTGATGATGGCCATTCTGACAGGTATAAGATGATATCTTCTTATGGCTTTTATTTTCATTTATCTGATCACTTGTAATATTGAACACATCTATTGGCTAGCTGTACATTTTCTTTTGAAAGTGTCTATTCTGGTCCTTTGCCCATTTTTTGTTGGATTGGGGATGCATATTGGTGTAGCCACTATAGAAAATAGTATGCAGTTATCTGAAAAAAAAAATGGAGCTACTTTATGACCCTAGCAATTCCACTTCTGGGAATATGTCCCAAAGGAACTCAAAACACTTATTCAAGAGAATATGCACACCGCTATGTCCATTGAAGCACTATTTACAATAACCAAGATCTGGAGGCAGCCCAAGTGCCCATCAGTGGATGAGTGAATAAAAAAGCTATGGTACATTTGCACTGTGGAATACTATGCTGCAGTAAAAACGAAGGAAATCTTACCTTTTGCTACAGCATGGATGGACTAGAGAGTATTATGCTAAGTGAAATAAGCCAATCAGCACTAAATAATTCTATTTACATGTGGAATTTAATGAACAAAATAAAGTAACCAACAAAGTGGAGACAGACTCATGGATACAGAGAACAGACTGTCAGCTATTGGAGATGGGTTTGGGAGCTGGGTGAGGAGGGTGAAGGGATTAAGCAAAGAAAAGAAAAACGTATGGACACAGACAATAGTATGGTGATTGCCTGAGGGAAGAGGGGGAGTTAGAAGAGGGTAAAAGGGGATAAAGGGCGATGGAAGGACCCCTGACTTGGGGTGGTGAACACACAATACAATACCTGGATGGTGTACTATAGAATTGTGCACCTGAAACCTATATAATTTTATTAACTAACTAGAGGCCCAGTGCATGGATTTGTGCACTGGAGGGGTCCCTCAGCCTGGCCTGCACCCTCTTACAATCTAGAACTCCTTGGGGGAAGTAGCAGTGCATGAGCATGTGGCAGTAGCATGTGGCTGGGGAGGAGCCTGAGCTGGGTCTGGGTGCCCCTCTGCTCCAGCTCATCCTGGTCCCACTACGCCTGCCGCTGCCACTCGGTAGCATTGCCACAGAGGCGGGAGCGGCTCCTGCCACCACAGCTGCACCCGCCAGCCATGACCCTGGCTTCTGGCTGAGCAGAGCTCCTGCTGTGGGAGTGCACTGACCACCAAGGGGGAGCTTCCGCACTGAGCACCTGCCCCTGGTGGTCAGTGCACAACATAGCTACCAGTTGACCAGTTGAGTGGTCAACCAGTTGCTTAGGCTTTTATATAGAGGGATATATCACCCCAATTAATTCATTCAAAAAGAAAAACTGTCTTGTAGAAATGAGGGAGGGACTGAAAAATAAAAGAATCAGTGGAAGAGGAAACCACAGGTTTGAGATCAGGAGCCTATTAAGCACAGAAATAGATTAATGAAGAAGGGAGGGAGGGAGGGAGGAAGGGAGGGAGGGAGGCAGGGAGGGAGGGAAGGAAGGAGGGAGGAAGAGAGAGAGAGAAGCAGGAAGGGAGAAAAGAATGGGAGAGAGGGAGAGAGAAGAAGGAGGAGAAAGAAGGGAGGCAAAAAGGAACAGAAAGATGGAAAGGGGAGAGGGGAAAGGAAAGGAGATGAGAAGAGAGGGGATGGGAGAGGAGGGGAGGGGAGGGGAGGGGAGGGGAAGGGAGGGGAGGGGAGGGGAGGGGAGGGGAGGGGAGGGGAGGGGAGGAAATGTTGAAACACTGACTGGAAGACAACATCACAATTTACCAACAATTTCCATGTAACTTTAATCCACCTGTCCAAAATGATGTTGGAATTATGAGTAGAGAAAATACTATAGCGTTGCACAGTTGATCTTAAGAAATGTGACAGAAGAGCTTCATGAACACTAGTATTGGAGACTACCACTAAGCACATACTCTTCCATGTAACTGTGGTTGTAATAGCAGAGGAGGGAGAGGACCACATTGGGCTGCCAATTCAGAAGCATGAGCTAAGGAAGCTGAATCAATAATGAGTGAGGACAGGTTCCACACATCCTGAGAAACTCAAATTTGTCGTAAAGCAAAAGATACTTGAGATGACTTCTATTTGTCCAAAAGGTCAAGCCAAGCCTGTCAGGGAACTATATACTCTTTGATTTAACAAACTGGCCCATCGGGTATAAAATCACAGTATTCTAAATGCCAGCGTGTCCAAAAGCGAACCAGAACTCTGGCAGGAGCAGGGCTGAGGCATATTGGTAGGAGCGGATCACTTTAAAAGCCCAGCCATCAATCACCCTTCTTGCGTTGTGCTCCTACAATATTCAGGAGGTCCTCTCTCTCGTGGCCATCAATCTGTAACCGATCTTAACAAGTAAACAGAAAAGAATGGCCCGTGAATATGTCAAGGTGTGTCAGTACCAGAGCTTAACCTTTCTCATAACGGTGGTGGGAGCTACAGAGCAGTGAGGGCTCAGCATGGATGCTTCGCTGATAAGAAGCACCCTTCACACCGTGGTCTGTGATATAAATGCAAACGCTGGAGCACGGAACAGAGCAATCGAACAGAACAACATCACAGCACAAAAACAGGAGTCGGAGCCCGTGAGCAAGCTCAAGCAAAGCCAACTCATATCACGGCAACAATATGGCCATGTCATGTGTCCTTTGGCAACTCGGCGTTTCAATGCATCTTTTCAGCAAATACAGAGACAGTGTTCTCTGCTAACATAAAGGTTGACTCAGTGACTTATAAACTCTTTGCAAACCTTTGTTATTAGTTGCTGACATGGTTTTCATCTTCATTGCATCAGGTGAATCTCCTGTGATTACAGATATTTTTATAAAAAATAAAATTGCCTCTGTGAAAACTGTAGCCTGATATATAATACATTGTTTCAAAAGTTGCAAAATCCGGTTCCTAATTTAGAGTGTTTAAAAAATGTATTGCTGGAAATCATGTAGATGGTTCTTAATAAGGGAGAATTACTGATATTTAAATACGGCTATTATTGCTAGAATAATTATACCCTGGAGGAAATGAATAATAGGTGTTTCTATCACTATAACATTTACTTGTTCCCTAACTGAAGGCATAATCCATTTAGTTCATTTCAGGTCAGTTTTTATTATGGCGTATGCTGGGGGAAAACAGTTTCTATGCCCATTCAAATGTCAGAGAATTACACCTGGTGTGTATGTGCACATGCACA